AACAAATGACAATCTATTTGACAGCATCTGAAGAGTAATCGTGCCAATTTAGAGCTTTTTTGAATGAACGTTGGCTGAGATATGGGTTTTAAAAAGCATGTTGAAATTTACCAAAAAAAGCTTAAAACCAAAATAACTCGCAAGCGAAAAACGCTAGGTACAAATAACTATTATCACGAAGTTATGGTCTACTTCCGGTAGACCGGAAGTGGCGGCCATCTCGAAAATATTTTAGATCGAAAGTTCGTAATGAACAACCCATGCTACCAAAATTTCAAGTCTCTACGAATAGTGGAACCTGAAAAAGTTCTAACGAACCAGTTACGTGAAACACATCTATATTTCTTATAATTCTTATTTTAAAAATAGTCCGAGTGTGCTACCTACTTTATAAATAATGAAAAGAATATTTTTTAAGATACATTAATAATATTGTTACCATTTTATGACATAAATAAACATTTATATATTTTACTCCTTCATGTAGGCAACCAATAATACACGCATTGACAGCAGTTAAATAACTTTCTTAAAACTCGTTTTATATGAAAAATTTTGATTCTTTTATGAACACGCGATTTCTGTGGAGGCAAAATAATGACTGAAAAACCTGAGAAGAGGAGTTCTTTATTAAATGAAGGTACTGTAATTATTATGACGGACTATTTTTATTGTTATAATCGTTATTATAAATCTATTTCGATTTATTTACTTCTTTTTTGATTATAGAATTTCAAACCTTTTATGATTTAAGAAAAGATCTTCCGCTAGGTTACAGCGATAATGTTATTGCGGAGTTGACAAAATGGGATAATAAGGTTGTTGCAATTCATAATGAATATAAAAAATTGGAAGAAGAAATAACCAAAAAAAAGGAACGCAAATCAAGAAGCGGAATTAAGCGAGGAATTGGAAGGGGTTTCTGCTGAACATTTTAAAACGCTTTATGATTCTTGCGATATCATCCGGTATTATATCAATCAAGTATAGGGTGATAAAGAGTATGAAGATTATAAGTGGAAAAATATGGAGAGAAGAATGAGGCGTTTTGATGATATTATGTTTGAAAAATTTCATCAAAACGCCTCATTCTTCTCTCCAAATTTTTCTACTTATAATCTTCATACTCTTTATCACCCCATAATTGATCGATATTACACCGGATGACATCGCAGGAATCATAAAGCGTTTCAAAATGTTTAGTGGAAAAATCTTCGAATTCCTCGCTTAATTCGACTTCTTGAGTTGTGTTCCTTTTCTTGGTAATTTCGTCTTCCAATTCTTTATATTCATTGCGAATTGCTTCAACCTTATTTTCCCATACTGACAACTCCGCCATAACGTTATCGTTGTAACCGAGCGGAAGATTTTTTCTTAGACCATAAAAGGTATGAAATTCTGTAATCAGAAAAGAAGTAAATAAATCGAAATAGATTTGTAATAACGATTATAATAATAAAAATACTCTGTAATGATACATACAGTACCTGCATTTAATAAAGAACTCATCCTCTCAGGTTTCTCAGCGATTATTTTGCATCCACAGAAACCGCGTGTTCATAAAGGAATGAGAATTTTTCATACGAAACGAGTTTTATTAAACTAAATATATTATGTTCTTATTAAAAACGAGTTTTTGTATTGTGTGTATTATTGGTTGCCTATATAAAAGAATAAAATATATAAATCGAGTGACAGGAAAAATTTACTAAGTACAAAAAATAATAAAATCGACATTTTATCACTAAGTACATTATCATTTAATAATCTTTTACTATAAAAACTCACTAACTACAAAAACCATCCCAAACCACAGTTACAAAATAGAAACACTCATCAATTGTATAATGTGTTGCCTATCCGGTAGGAAAAAGTCATCAATGCAGTTAATGAGTTTTATTAATATTAAAAATACCGATATTTCCGAGCTTTATTTGTAAGAGCATGAGAATTATTAATTATTTCAATTTATTATTGTTTGAAGTTGTCAGGTAAAGATTTATCTTTCTTTCAATATTATTGTTGTTCATTTAAAAATTGTTGTAATAAACCATTTTGAATAGGAATATTTAAATATTCAGCTCCATTCACCGATCGTTTCATTTTAACCATCTTATGATCAACAAATTCGGTTAATTTTGCTCTTAGCGCCAAATCAGAGCTGACTAAAAACGCTTCACGATAAGACCAATACAAATCTTTTAAAAGCATCCCTAAAATACCCAAAAATCTCATTTAACGAAACATAAACATTAACTCGTTACCTTGATAATATTGTCCGGAGTTTTGTATTGATATTTGACAGTAATCAAAAAAATTCCTTTTGAATTCGATGTTAATGATAAAAAGACATTTTTCAATGACGATGAAGCTAATGATCCAGTTTTGGTAATCATCATAGATGTTTCGAAGGAAGTCTCATCTTTGTATGGTAAAAATGAAGTTAAATCCCACCAACTGAAATTAAATTTAAAACCCTAATTATTTCCCAAACTATTAATGTTAGGTATGTGACATATGGGGTATAAAAGATGTAAAATGAGACGCCGAAGACGACTAAATAATAACATATGGGAGGTGCCATTTAAAAAAATTAAGTTATGGTACTTCTAAATTTCGAAAAGATAACGTGCCATAGTAAAGTGACCAAACGATCTAGACAGCCATTCTCGGCACCAAAACACACTCCATCATGTTGCTTAAGCATGTTCTGAATCATAAATTGATATCCCAAAAATCGAGTGTTTTCTGATCTTTTGAACAAATGTCTGCTAGAGTAGATTTTTTTAGATAAAATCGAATAACTCGGGAACGGCCGAACCAAATTACAAAAAGTAAAGTTATTCATAAACCTTGAAAATAGATAAATCCAAGTATGTAAAAATATATAGGTGTTCCCTTTAAAAAAATAAAGTAGGTGGCAACTTCCGATATAACCGGAAGTGCTAGAAATCTGAAAATATTTTAGTCGAAGAGAACGCAATTGATTATACTTAAATTTGAATTCTCAAATTTTTATTTTGGCCAAAACTCCAGAAAGGTCTAGTGACCGGTCTCGCTGAGATACCTGTATAAGAGCACCATAAGACCGATCATGACCTATACGGCTGAGACTAGACCTGACACGTCTAAAACAAAACAGATATTGGAAACAGCAGAAATGAAGATACTTCACAGAATCACCGGCAAAACTCTACATATACGATAGAGAAAGAAGCGAAGACATAAGAACATTGGAGTAGAAAATATCAGCAATTGAACACATAAACTAAAGAAAGAATGGAATGCATACATAGAAAGAATGGGACAAGATAGACTAGTGAAAAGGGCCAGGGATAAATCGCCGCTAGGTAAACGAAGTCTAGGAGGAATTTGCGCACAGAATAGAGGCATCATTGACGAAGAACAGGTTTTAAGCCTGACTGGAGAAAGAAGAAAAAGTGTTTTTAATTGATTGGATACCTATGGTATGTGATATATCATTGTAAATAGATCTTTTTATAATTTAATAATACGTAACAAAATTGGGCATTTTCTAATTTGTTTTTTAGAGGTATTCTTCTATATTAATTTTTTAATTTATAAAATAAATTAAACAACCATGTCCTTTTCTCAATAAAAAGGACACATTTGACAACCAATTTTATTCAACCTCTAATTTTTGAAATACAATATTTCAACGTTACATTTTTTGTATGACGTTTCGGAAATTTATTCCATTTTCACATACAATTCGCAATATATTAACCTTGATCTGCAAAATGACATTGGTTAGATTACGTAATTAAATTCTTATATTTCACCTTAATCTGACACTTAAAATTATTAGACTATCTAAAATTGGGCATGTTCTATTTAAAATTTTGAATGTATTTGCTGTATTAAACATGTTTAATACTCAATTGATTTTCTTTATTTTTTTTGGATTTGGCAAATAATAGAATATTCAGTGTGGAGCAACTTTCCTTCTATAACATTTTATCACATCTACTACAATAGTCGAGATATCTGTGTTGACAACAAAAATCAAATACACTGTATATAAAATTTTGCTATACAAAAGGAGTCGAACGTCTAAACAGTCCATTATATCATCCAAAATGGAACTATTTAGCAGAGAGAAATGTAAAGACGACGAAAAGAATGTTATAAAAGTATAGAAACACACCATCAATAGCTATGGATATATCACTAGCAGAAATAATTTTTAACCTGTTACTAGATATGATTCATTAAAACCTTATTATTAGTCAAGAAGGCTTATTTACAGTAGAGACTATTTATGAGAAATAGAAATATAGATGAAGATAAACGGTTGAATGGCGACAACATGAAAGTACTCAGCTCAATGACATATCTAGTGAATGCTTAAAACAACATTTGGTAATTAGATTAATTAAAAAAAAACAAGACGCAAAATATTTTTCCAATCTTAACAAATTTAGAGACCTACATCATTTACAGTGTTAGCAGAAATACCAGCTGTAGGAGCAAGTAATGTCGAAAATAATCTTATTGCATTAGTTCTTTAAACTGCAGCTTCTGTAAAATTATCTGTAAAACTTTCAAAATGTAGAAATACATATCCACTAACATAGTCGTTAGTGCAGTTTCTTGTAGAAAGGTAAATAAGAGGAGTTAATAACAAGTTTGAATCTTTGTTTGTCATTCATATAACGCATAAACATAATAGTAGTTTGGCACCATTATTATTGCAAACATCGTCTAATTCTAATATAAAACTTTTTTACCATATCCGCAACATTCTTTATAATTTTAACTTCCAAAAGGTTGAGTTCTCAATTTTAAACTCTATTTTAATTTCATTAATTATCCCATTAACATAAACATTCTGCTAAAAGCCTTTTCTTTCTTAATACATAAAAAAATGTTTTCTTTTTCTTTCTTGTAAAGGGGAAATTTGTAAAAATAATCTAGAATTACGCATTTTATTATAACATTTTGGTTATAAACACAAAAAAAAGCATTAAAGTATTAAAAAAATGATTAAATTGATATTAAATAAAAATTACCCGAACTTCATTCACAATTTTATGATTAAATTTTTGATTTTTATGATTCTGCTTCTAAATTAATAGCTCCTCCAAATTTAGCATACAAAGTTAGTTTTAAATCGTTCATGGTTTCTTCGAGTTTGCCCAAATTCTCTTTTAATTTATTGATATCTTCTTGCTTTTTCTGTTTGGCTTCTTCAAGACTTTCCTATTAAGTTAAAATCACAATACATTTTTAATTTTTGAATAATATTGTTTTTACCTCTGTAGCTTCCTTATTTTGATAAATAAAAACTTCCCCAGTTAAATAAGGAATGTTTTCATCATCATCTAATAACATCAATTCTTCACAAGCATCTTCTAAGTTTTTAATATCATTCTACACATAAAATTGAATAACTCAACGGTTAATTTTTATAAATTTAAGTTTTAAACTACCTCTTTTTGTTTCATTTCTTCTTTTAGATCCTCCCATCGTGCGTTTAACCTAGCAAATTTGTTGATTTTTTGTTGGTCTTCTTGAGTTATATTAATATCAGAATCCTAAGAAGAACGTTCAAGTAAAATCTAAATAGAGGTTTAAATAACGTCTTACGTGTTTAATGCTTGCTTTTGTGGACATTTTTGTGATATTCTAATCGATTTTTTTTTACTCAAATGGACAAATAAGGTTATGGTGCCGGAAAAGAATGTCTGTCAAAATTATGTTAATGTCAAAAACTGTAAATGTGAATTATATTGTGGAAATTATACAACAGATGGCTCCACTATTATTTATTTCTAATTTGAAATTTGATCGTTTAAACTAATTTAAAGTAATTTTTTAAACACATTAATAAATTTATGGTTTGAGATAAAAAAGTTAATGTGTTAATATCAAAAAATTCTAGAAAATATAGAAATTGAAGCTAATCAAACGAAATTCGCCTATTTCCCGAAAGATGGCGCAGGATTTTTTTTTTAATTTAATTTCTAAATAATTTTTGCAATTTAAATTTGAAAAAATCGAAATTCATCAGGAATATATATATATACTAGTCTATAACAAATAGAGTACTGTGGCACTCCAGGCTGGATCTTTCTTAAGTTAGAGTAGGCCTCCTCCTGCTTTATTCTAAAATTTCTTCCTGTAAGACATGATTTTATCAATTGAAAGTGTTGTGGCAAGATTCTATTCAATTTGTGAAGTAAGCCTTCGTACCGAACTGTATTAAAAGTCTGAGCTACATCTAGGAATATTACAGAGCGGACTTCCTTTCCCTCTAAAGACCTTTCAATAATATTTGTAATCCTGCGTATCTGGTCTATTGTAGAGTTCCTTTTTCTGAACCCGAACTGGTGCGAAGGGATTAGGTTCTTTGCCTCCATCATCGGTTTTAATCTTTTAAGAAATAGCTTTTCAAATAATATCGACAAGGAAATAAGCCTGTTTTGGAGAGTAGGCCGTTTTAGACTTCTGGTGGCTTTCCACAAAGAGTAGTCAGTTTTACTGTTGTTGGTTAATTCTCTCAGGTAGCTTCCGATTGATACGCTGTATTTCTCTCTTTAATTGTTGAGTAGCGTTGTTTAGGGCTGCTTTATCCACTTCGTTTTGTGCCATTTTCTTCTTAATTACCTCTTTTTGGTTACCAATTCCCTAATTTTTTGGGATAATTATTGCCCTTGGCTCTGGGTTTGATCTCAGAAGTATTTTCCCAAAATACGTAACAAACAGCTCTACTTCTGTATCTAACTATTCTTCAGTCCTTTTTGATGTAGAAAGGTTTATGGAGTTCTCAAGTTTAATTTTGAAACTCTTCCAATCAGTCTTTTTAAGAAATGAAATAAATCAGATCTTTTGGGAATAAAAAAGAAAAATCATAATACATTTATTACAATATATTTGTATTAGGTACACAAAAATTTACAAATAATTTATTATGTCGTGTTAATTAATAAAAGGTGACTATTATCCGGCATACATACATAATAATTGTACAAATACAAATTTTTAGTTACAAATTATTCATCGTAACGTAGCTCCCTTTTACATGCATTACAATTTCTTTTAAGTTAATAATTTTAAGTTTAGAATAGTTGAAAAAGGAAGTTTTGGAGAGGTGGAGAATAAAATAAAATAAGACAAGGGGAAAACGCATAAAAGATATACAATCGCGTTTAAAACTATCACAATATAATTAATTAATTAAATATTTTTATTAAGATTTATTTGACGGAGACATTTAATATTTGATATGTTGGCAACATCGAATACTATTTTATTATATTAATTTTCTTTAAACTACCAGCTTTTGGGAAAATTTTTGGAGTAAAAGTTAAAATGTGTTTGTAAATTTTAAATTTATGGCAATCTAGGAACTAGAAGTAATATTATTATTATTTTTTTAGGTAAAGATACAAGCTTAGAGAACGTATATTTTTCTCATTTTTTTTAAGCTCTTTTCTCGCAATCTGACGATGGAATAATAATTTTTTATTAAGTTTTTTAATCGATTATTAATACATATATTGATTAAAATTTATATAATAATACTGTACAATTTCAAATTACATTAATACAAATTTTCTTTTCCTTTTTTTTTTGATCGGTATTAATGAATTAATTAAAAAAAAAAGAAAAAGCATGCACTCCCATTCATTTATACACAACAAAACATCACAATAAAATTAAGAACGAAGAGTTATTTAACGACGTCGGGCAAAAAACATTGTTTTTAATAAATTACTTCTTTTTTCACGCACACAATTTTATTATTAATAAATTTGAATCATTATCATTTTTTGTCGTTCTATTAAAATTAAAAAAATAAATAACTTAATAACGTTTAAATCAATAATCACATATACAGGGTGATACATTTAATACTTATTTCGCGCACCCGTTAAGTAATGAAACACCCTGTATGATGATTATTAATTTTTATTTCTTTTTGTGCTTCTCCTTTCCGCTAATCCGTTTGTTTTTAATAATAATACAATAATATTAATAATATCTGTACAAAATTACTCAACTATATAATTAAGAGACGCGTTTCATTTTTAAGACAAGACAAGAATTATTTCATACAACACCTATATTTATATTTATATAAATGCATTTGGTACACTGCGTTATTAAGATTTTTTTTAAATAATAATTATTACTTCTTTTCGTACCGATTTTTTTTTTGTAATTTCTTTTTTATACAACGAAATAAATCGGATGTAAAATAGATACAGATTAAAATACTGAGTTTAAAAAAATCACAGTGACAGCAGTCAACGATTAAACCTTATTTTTTTTGGAATTTTTTTTTTCAAATCTTTTTTGATTGGTAATTTCTTTATTTATTACTTTCTTATAATTTTTATTGTGCGATAATCATATTATTGGCAAGTATCATTATACATTTTATACCATATTTGTTATTATCAATTCTTTCATAGACAGAAAAAAAATCTAACTCAAGCTATGGCAATTAATTTATTAATTGTTTTTTTTTTTTAATTTTTCGTGTTTAATTTTTGTCGTTTATTTACACGTGCGTGCCCGACGTCTAAACCTGCGCATACGTTGATCCCATTCTTCTTTCCATTCAATAGCAATGGAACGTTGAGTAACACCCAGTATATTCGATAGTTTTGTTGTGGGAGAGTCATCTTTCTCTCTACCCAGAAGTAGATAAGGTCTGAAACAGAAAGAAATAATTAATATTAAGAACAACTTAATGATATAAAGTAAGTACAAATAATATGGTGCGATCGAGTATAGGGTGAGCAACTTTCGTTGACTGCAAAATTGGAATTGAGGTCACTTTTAGATGAAACTAGATTTTTAATAAACCGTACGGCATTATTTTTTGGTCAATATGCTCGGACTTGTAGTGCAAGTCATAAAGTTATACCTATTGGTATTGAAAGAATTTCTATACAATATCTTAATATAATAATTTAGTTAATATAATTGCTGGCCATTTAGATTTAAGATTCATACAAAATACTTACGCCTTCCTTAAATACCAGCTGTTTATTCTAAAAAGTAAATAAATTTTACTAAAAGTGTTGTGAAAAATGACCCCTTTCATTTAGCGGACTTTAGACCTTGAACTTTAATGAAGCTTTAAGGGCTATAATTACTACTTTACTAGGAACTTCGTGTATGGCGACTGTAAGCTCCTGGAGTATACCGAGGAAGACGTTAAAGGGGGCAACTGCTTTGGTGGATAAATTGGAAAACGAAGCTAATCGACGATCAACAACGACGGCAACATCAAATCCAATTTCGATTGGATTAATTTTTCTTTCCAAAGTAAATGGAAACGTATTTAGTAGAAGAGATAGCACGACAGGCTATCGACAGTTGAGTTCGATCTCCCGCAAGAGTTAAGTGTGATACTGGGTACGGGCGTAGCGAGCCCGAGGTACTTGACCTGAAGGAGCATACTTCATAAAAAATAGGGATCCTGGTAGCCCGGATGGTAGTACCCCTAAAGGTCTCCCTGAGTTACAGGTGAAAATGTTTACCAGTATCGATACAGCACCGGAATTATGGTTGTTTTTATGGAACTATTTGTTTTGTAAGCATACCTGCCGGATACGGATAAAACACGGTAAGCTAGGCATCTGACAGCTGCAATAATGAAAACCTTCCGAAACTACAAAGACTCATATACTACGTCAATGCTAGGTTGGCCATCCTAAAGAGAGAAGAAAACCTCTCCTTAGGAAGTTAAACGCCCAGAATTGATTATGAAGGTAGATATCCGAAGAAGAAAAAGACGTGAAGAGAAAAGTCGGGGCAAGTACAAAAAGAGAAGCTGTGCAAAAGATGCTGTGCAAGTGAGTGAACAAGCGAGGAGAATAAAAGATACAACTGGAAAATAGAGAATAGAGGATATAACATACTTTCTTTAATACCTAATAAAGGTATTAAAGATACATATAGAGCAGGAAAGGAACACGAAAGCAAAATAAAAGATGCAGTAAGCTCCAACGATTGGTGAAAGTTATAGCAAGAATGGACATGATGGACATAAGGAGTGGAAGAAATGAAAAACAACAAAGGAAGAAAGAAATGTGTACTCAGGATACACAAACCGAATGGACTCGGAGAAAGAACATAGCGAAGAACAGGAATGAGATGAAGAAATAAAGAAGACGAATAAATACGGAGATTGGAAAAGATTTTTAATAAAAAAGATCAAAGGAGAACCCCGATTTGATAGAAATTAACCCAAACAGAAGTAATAATGGTCGAAGTTGATGATAGCAAAATGAATAATGATATTCAACAGCAATACAAAAAGTTCTTTTCAATAAAATCGGAAGTAGCGGATAAGTACGCTGAGATACAGCTGACCATATAGAGATAAAGGCAAAAATTAATGGCAAACAAAAAGTTAGGAAAGTAAAAATGGCCGTAATAAATGAAACTTTATCTTTGCTCATACCGCAGTGTGATGAGTTGATATGTGCTGGAGATATTAATATTGATTTGATGAATCCTAGTCATGGTCACACAGTTGGGTTTTCGGAGATATTTGAAGGTTATGGTTTGCAGCAGCTTTTTAATGAACTAACTCGCATTACACCTGCTACTGAGACATGATTAGGCTTAGAGACGGTCTTTACAGCAAATACAAAAAGTCTAAAGCTGAACTAGCACTTAATGAATATAAATCTGTTAAAAAACATGTTGCACGTGCAATGGAGACCGAGCAGAAGGCGTACTATGAATCATCTTTTAAAAATAAAAGTTCCAGGGATCTCTGGAAATCACTAAGGCATCTGAATGTTATCAAATCAAAAGAGCAGGTACTTCCACAACATTTGAATGGCGTTGAAGGCATTAATGATAATTTTTTACAAGCTGTTGAAAACTCAATGATCGCTGATCCAGACTTAGTTCAGGCTTATACTACTACGAAAAAGTCTACTTTTAATGAATTGTTTGTTTTTGTGCCTGTCTCGGATCAAAATAGGCTTACTGGATTAGTTCTGCTAGACTACAGTAGGGCCTTTGATACTGTCAATCGTAGGATGTTATCAGCTATCTTATCCTTTATTGGGTTCAATGATTCTGCTGTAAGCATGATTGATAGTTATGTGTCAGACAGACAACAAGCGGTTAAATTGGGTGATCGGAGATCTGAACTGCGAGGGTTGAAGTCAGGAATGCCACAGGGTTCTATCTTGGGGCCTCTATTGTTCTGTATCTACACTTCTAATCTTTCGACAGTTTTGAAACATGCAGTCACATTTTTATGCGGACGATTCCCAAATCTATCTATCGTTCTTGCCTCCGGACATGGCCACTGCTCAAGTTAAATTGAGTGAGTAAATAAATCAGTGGTTATGCTTTTTGGCAGGCGGGATGCACGAGACTCTCTTGCAGAAAATTTTAAAATCAATATTGGTGGTAAATGTATTGGTAGAGAGTGTACTAAAAATTTAGGATTACAGCTCGACTCGAATCTTAGGTTCGAAAAACACATCCTGGACAAAACAAAAATTTCATTTGCTGCTTTCAAGCTCATATAGAGCATGAGGAATATTTTAAATCGCAGCACAAATATTATGCTTCACGATTCCTTAGTGTTGAGCCATTTTAGCGTTTGTGATATAGTATATCATAGTTGTCTGAACTCAAAAACATCACAAAGGATCCGAATGATTTTCGGGCTTCGACGAGCTTGCCATGTCTCACACAGGCTGATCGATCTTGGGTGACTGAATATGTTTAACCGTCGCATATACCATATGGTTTCATTTTATTATAAGTTACTGTTGCTTAAATGTCCATCTTATTTGTATGATAAGGTCACATTCCGTACTGATGTCCATAGCTTAAATGTTCGAAGCAAGGGTATTGTCACACAACCGTGAATTCGATGATTTGGTTTTGCTTTTTATGCAATTGTATTACCATCTTTAAAAATCTTTTCTTTCCTTTTTTTTATTATATTTTGTTTATTTTTATGGCAGAGTTGAGTGGAAGAGAAGACGATTGTCTTAACTTCGTCCTTGTCAACCAGTTAAATTTATATTGTTATTTTGTGAAATTCTTTTCTAATAAAGTCTATTATTATTATTATATTGAAATAGGCATTTGCGCAAACTTTAAACCAATATTGTAGCGATTGTAGGTTATTTGCGATTATGTCGCTTTAACTGTTGGATGCAGATTTAAATATCCTATGACCAAAAAATGTGACCATTTTGGCATTTATACTGTTTTGGCCTGGCAACGACGATATGGAGAAGCAGTAACGAAACAACAACAGAAAAAGAGGAACAGAGGAAAACGGAAAGTCAACTGGTGGCAGAACAGAAAAAGGAGGAACAAGTCGGAAATTTGTTGCAATCAAATTGCAGCGTTTTCTCTTCTTGTATATTCAAGGTAATCTTCATTAATCCATAGTTCTGTGGCTTTTAGTTTATTTTGTGTTCTTTAACATTTCGTTCTTAGCACTTTCACCAATATTCGTCTGTTCGTGTTGTAGTGATATTTTCCGATGAGTGATAGATAGTAATTCCGATAATGATAAACAAAGTGAAGGAGACTTCATCTATTTCTGACCCTTCTACGTTTCATCAACTCGTTCCCTTGCTTCTTTTCCGATTACATTTTTGATATCCTTAATCCCTTTTATTATTATATTTTTATTCCGTATCTCTCTTTCCAAGTTTTGTATTTTATAATCATGTTGCACCACACTTTCTTTCAAAATTTCGTTCTCTTGCCTCAAATATTTCATTTCTGACGTCCACTTGTCCATTTTCATACTTCCACTCATTTGAACGAACATCTTTACTATTCTTTCTATATATCACTCATTTTTATTTTTAGTTTTTATTTTGATTATTCTTGTTGAGTGTATAGGTTTAGATAATACCATTAAGTGTATTTCGTACTCATCCACTTTTAACTACTTCTTCCTGCTCATAATATCCATAGTATTTAGCTTTTTACTGAGCTGTAGTAACACCTGTCTAGAACCCAAAAAAGTTGTAATGACTTCGTAGAAATCCAAGAAATTTGTAGTTGTCCATGAAACGGTGTTTCTCCAAAACTATTAAGGTTAGTATAAAAATCTGTTAAGAAATAACTATTGGTAGTTACTGAATAAATTTTATCGTGTTTAAGTTATGTAAGACTAGGTATACACCGCAATACTATATGTTTACACTAAATTTCAAATTCTTTTAAATTTGACACTCGTAATAAATGTAAAGTAAATATAATTTACATAAATATCACATAAAAACGAGTCGTAACATTGATTATTTGATCGTAACATCGATTTTTATTAATATAAATAATGTATCAACAAATTTTAAATCCTCTTCCTATTCTAAAATAAAAACATTCTAATCGGAAAATTTACGAAGTTGTAAATTTAGTAACAAATCACTTTCAAATCTTTATTACTCCCACTTTACGACTTTATGCAGACCGTTTTCAAGTTCTCGGCTTGCTACCAAGCGAAAACAAACGTTTTAGCGCTTTGTTTTAAGGTTGGTACATAAAAAGTATACAGGGCTCAACAAAAAGTCACTTATTCGAATTATTTATTTTTTTAAATCATCTTAAACGATTAACTTTTAAATTATTTTTTTTTTAATATATAATTTATTTTTTTTTAGTTTTATTTTATTAATATTATTTATTTTTGCGATTTCGTACAAACTTTTTGAACACACATTGTACATTTGCATGTCGATCGTTTCGATTTCTACAATTGCGATCGGAGTTTCCGTTAACGCTTGGTGTATTATGTCTACGGTACGTTTTATGTGAATTATTGAAAAGGTCTGGACGACTTTAACCCGCGTAAAGGCATTGTGCTTATTGATTTAAGGGGTAGGCGTACCCAGGTCAACAACAGTTTTCAATGAGGGTAAATAATCGTTTTATGTTCACTGTTCAGCTCAACCATAAAGAACATTTACCTTCACGGACATCAGAAAATATTTAAGATCTAAAAAAAATACTAAAAAAATTTTTTTTGTTGTTTATCTTGGTTTAAGTAAATTATATGAAAATTATTCATGGGCCGTCTTTATATGGCTTTATAGTGTTGGATTTAATGCACTGGAAAGGTGCTTTATTTGCTAATGTGGGAGATATTTCAATCAATGAGTTAAAAATAAAAAAGTTCTTAACGACTTACTTGTTGGTTTTGATTCTAGGACATTTACACGCGAGTTCAGCCGCTGGAACGACCAGAGTCATGGTGCCTTTTCTTATTTTTGAATCCCTTCCTTTTTTGAAAATCGATTCCACTTTCATTATGAATTTTACCCAACCTTTCGTGTATTCGTCGTCGGCTTCCTCTATGCGGCTTAACACTCGAGCCATTATTGCTAGAAAAGAATAGAATTTAATTATTATTTAATTTAATCAAAAAATTTTGACAAAGTTTGGCAAAAAAAGTCTTAAATTAGAATAAAAAATTAGGTTGTTTAAATCGTTTATAGAGACTTAAAAACATTACATAAGATGTTTTTGGTTTAGATATTTTAAATGCAAGATTGATAGATTGAAGCCTCCCATTAATTATTCTAACCGAATTACAACTAAAATAAATACACAAATCATCGTTGTACATAGAATCTAGGATTTCCCCCGAAAATAGGTTAAACCAACGAGTTAATTAATTAAGAAAACTTTCATGAATGATAAATACATGACAATATAGCATTTAATGTTATTTTATAATCATTAAATAATTTCCAGTAAAAGTATATTTTATGTTCAATAAGTTGCGTTAAAATATTTATCGTTTTTGAAATATTTGTTTTTCGACATTACACATTAATTTCTTACAGTTTTCTTCTTTATGGTTATTTTATTAGAAAATTGAAAATATGGGTAAATAATAAATTTCAAGTGTTTGTTAATATCATTTTACATTATGGTTCTACGTTCAAGTAAATGAGTAATTGACGTTTTGAAATGGCAAACGCTGGTTATAAGCGTTCGTAATTCCTAAACGGAATAATTAATGTTAAGTATACATAATGGTGCGTTTTCTTTTTGCGGTCGCCGCGGCGGCGGTTCTTTAGGTGCGACCTAAATGTGTCGAAAAATGCGAATGCTCGACCACCTTATATGGCGACAAAAGGCGAACCGGCTTTTGAAAAGGTCTAAAACACAATCTAGAACAAAACTTTTTTATTTTAGAAAACCAAACTAATAAAAGATTTTAACAATAATATTACATCAAGTTTTGTTTTATTTGTGACTTTACTGTTGGATTAAAAGAAAAAAAAACCGTTTTCATTATGCACTGGGTAGTTTTCCATTAAAACGCGTGTACGTAACGGCTTCGTTTTCCTCTAATTAGAATTTCACCCCGGGTTGGGTTGTTAATGCGTATTAAAACGTGCACGGAAACGTGCGCAGGGTGCTCCGCAGACTGCGTTGTGTTGTTTAGCTGGCTTGGTTTGGTTTGGTGAACGGAATTAACAGCCAGCCACAACCTTTTCTTTCCTTTCTTTCCCCCTGAGGTGGGCGTAATTAATTCTTCTCGCTCGGCACGACGCGGCGGCGAAAACGACCGTAGAGCAATTACAAATTGTCCTAATATTTCAAGGAACGCTGACAAATTAGCTGTGACTTAGTCGACACGCGAAACACACGCCACATTTAATCGAGCTTAAAAGGTATTTCATTTAATAAAAGATTTTATTTTTATGAATATCAACAAAATTTAGTTATAAAGTTAATAAACAAAAAAGTTTTTGTTGTTTCCCTCATTTACATAGTTTATTCAAACTGTCAAACTTTAATTAACTGAGAATTTGTACGCCCATCGTTTATGTCTAACTAGAAAGGGGTCGATTTTAATGCGACCGTAAAGGTTCTCTTGTGTAGAGAGTTAATTGAATGGCTAATTTTGGATATAATTCGGAAACATTTTCTTTTAGATTTTCTCAGAATATCTTTAATAGTATCTGGCACTGCTACTGTTAATATATAGTTTAGTCTGGAATATCAGGATTGTCGATATTATTGATATCCTTTGTCTTTATACGTTACAGAACGGAAGCTTTTCTCGTTGTAATAATAGCTTGGTTCTAGTTTTCAATTACGATTCCGAACAGTTTCGAATGGTGCTGAACTGAAACTTATTGCACAGTACAATAAGAAACTTCCTCCTTAATTTTGAAGATCTGAACTTCCCTACTAGTCCTAAATACTGAAAATTGAATTTATGGTGGGTAAGAAACCAGATCTGTCATTTGGATCAATAAAGAAGGTGCACGACCTCGAATATCACAAATTCTTGTGATAAACAATCCTTAATGATAAAACATATTTTCATTTTCTGGCTGTGTTAACAAGCAGAATCTACGGTATTGAAGTGAAAACAACGCAAGGAAAATCTAGCAGAGGCCTTGAGTGGCATTTTAGCCCATAGTATCCCGATCGCGGATCATTGGACCTTACTTTTTTGAAGAAGGAAGTAAAGTTGTGTTACAATCATGTCATATCATATGTGTATCACCGTGTGGTGATACCAACCACGAGAGCTTTTTTCTATAATTACTAGGTATTGTCGTTGTTATTGTCTCTCCAAAGACTAAACAACACAGCATATAAGAAAATAATATGAGAGTGAATGGAAGAAAAAGAGAGGGCGTCCTAAGGAAACTTGGGACAACACAATAAAAAAAATAATAAAGAAATAAGAGACGACCAAACTGAACCAAAACGAAGAACTTCAAACAAAACAGCCTGAGGTAGCAGAGGAATATGATTAATAATATAACAATGTATTGTGAAGACTGAAGATTGTCGTTCTATGAGTTTTTCTTGTGGGAGTACTTAAGGGAACGTATTTATGTTTACAAACCACTTACTCTATTATTTATTGGTATTAGGTATGATTTTTGTCTGACATTTAGAAATTGTATTTAAAAGGATTGCCGTCAGCTGAGGAAATGGAAAGTATCACTGTTTTGTTCGATACAAATAAATACCATTTTCCTTGAAAATCAATTGAGTAAAAACGTAAAATTATTTGCAATCAATTTAATGGTGGCAAAATATCAAGTTGTGGTACAAAAAATTAAGTTATATTGTAAGCAAACCAAGTTGTAGTTGAGCAAAACGAAATTGTGGTGAATCAAAATCGTGTTGGAAGTAAATCAAGTTGTGAAAACTAAGTTTTGGCGTAACAAAATTATGTTGGGTGGTAGATAATCAGGTGGCAGAAAACTAAATGCTGTTAAGCCAAGATACAGTACTACTTACAAAGCATAGTATAACTTGTAGTAAAAAACCAAGTTGTGCTAGAAGTAAATCAAGCTGTGGTGGTGTAAATCCAATCAAATATCAAATACTGATAAATTATTTTCATTTAGAGTCTTGATCATACTGGTCCACCTGGTCCATCTTTTATTCTCCGGGAGGTAGCACTTTTCTTGCAACATGATTTTCGTGTTTGCGCATACGTGTCTGTACCATCTCATGTAACTCTCCGTAAGTTCCTCCGTAAGTTTCTCAGTCACATGGACCACTGTAAAGCTGTCGCCAACACATTCGTTCCAGATCCTGCCAGATACCTCTGCCTGACCATCGTAACATTTTCATTTACGTCTGAGACGTCTTTATCATCTAGCATTCTGCCCCATATACCACAGCGGATCTTAATTAAGAAGTTAAGAATTGCCATTTCTGCCAGGCCGCGCCGACTCAATGCTCCACGTCAGGTTCCACATTTGCATTAAAGATCACAGATCCCAGATACGTAAATTGTGCGACTTACGAGATTGGTGGTAATTTTATTGGCTGAGCCTAGACCAAACCCGCATTCCAACTGTTCCGTCCACGCTTCGTTCCAAGTGTACCACCGAGAATAAATTACATATACTACTAAGTTAAAAGTCATTCCAGAGCATGGAATAGAGAAATCCTTGCAGATAACTAAAGTACATTATTACAAGATTCAGACAGAGTGGTTGAATAATTTTCGAGAATTGTTTTTAAAAACACATCTAAAATTTGTAGTAGCATAAATGATAAAATTTTTATTTCTCTTTAATCGGGAGTTCTTAAGGATGCTGTACTTCCACTGCTTCTTTCAACAGTTGGTGGTCAGCTTCTTTTTTTAAGTCTTGGCTTTGAACTACTGTTGTTAGTTGGGGCTCACCGTTTGACGAAGTTTTAATTTGACGAAGCTTACTGCTTCAGATCTAATGACAATATTTTTAGTACAGTATTAAGTACTCATACCAGTAAAATTTACCATTCCAAATATGCGATTTAAATGTAACAATTAAAGCTTCAATTTTGAGTGTTACAACTTTTCTCTGTAAAAGAATAATATCGAAATTTAGTCTGAAATAAAGGCGAGTTATCGAAAGGTGGGGATGATTGTACAAATCTTATTTTCTATCAGCTTTCTCCACTCACAGCAAGAATCTGCACCCTCCAGGCAGTAATCGTTGGAGATATTCGTATATCGAACTATGTATTGTTCGTGATACTTGGGGCCACCGACGTCTTCGAAATCAGCCGAGATTATTTCTTCCATAAACTTCAAGCACTTGGTTTCACGTGTAATATGCTATCTATTGCATTTTATAAAGTTCTGCTGTTCGTTATACTTAAAGTATAAATCTTAATAATCGAGTCATTTACGAGTTATGACCACCTAAAAAAGGTCAATTTCGAGTGCTTTCGCAATATTTTCGCGTTTTAGCGGAATTTGAAAGAGATTTCGAATCAGGTTTCACTTTCTTATTGGCCAAGGATTAAGCTTTCGAATGAGATACTGTTCATCAAAACCGGTTGAGAGATTCTCTTGGTATAATCAAAATACTAATTAATTGGGGGCTAACTTCATATAGTAGCAATGTTGTAAAACATCAAACCCTAATAAGATCATTATTAAACGCTTTATTATTTCGATAACAACCTAGCATAGTTTTGAAGCATTTCAGCATAATTTTTGTGGTTAGCTTTGCCTTAACGTCAATGTGATCAGTTTATCAAGTCAAACATCATAAATTACTGTTTATTTTGCTTCTTATAACACCAGTTGAGATAAGGCATATTGAGTTAAATCGCCATTCTTTGGCGTCCAATACCTCCAGTGCAGAGATTTCCCATTCTTTCTTACTCACCCTGTAGATGTAGATGTTGGAGATGATTCAATTTTTATCTATGAAGTTAATTGAGATATCGAATTGCAATGAAAAGCATTCTAATGCGAAGTTAATGAAAATTTGACACTCCAACAATAATTTATTTATCTTATTTAACCGATTTTCAACGATTATTTAAAGAGATGTTTGGAATTATATCGACAATTTGGAAATATTGTACCTCGGTGCCCAAATGGGAATATCAAAATGGGATAAAAAGCATTTTAATGCAAACTCATTAAAGAGTGTATGCCCAAAATATAATGCATTTATCTTTATTAACCCCATTTCAACGATTTTTGAAATAAAACCCTAAATTTAGAGATCTCCTAGTTTCAACTAATTCGAAATTTAAAAATGTTTATCTAAAAAACTTATTAAGTGAAGAACGTGGAAATACCAGTTTCAATCTTTTATATCTCAGCAATAAGATGTGCTCAATTTAAAATTTTTAATAGATGAATTATTGATCAGGTATCATCAATATATCATCAAAGTATAATTTACTTTGACGGTTTTCAAAAAGATTTTGAAATTTCAACCAACCCAACTTTATCCAAAATTGAGTGTAAATCTTGGGTTGATTTTAATCATTCATTCAACTCGATTCCCCAACTTTGTTAAGGTTGACTCTGAATTTAAAAAAGTTGTGATGGATTAGACGTTAGAAGAAATCTTCAAAAATTCTAAGAGATTCTCAAATTATAATAACTCAAATTCTCAATATTAATTTAGACAAAGTGGAATTGATTTTTATTAACTTTGTTGAGTTGTTAATTGATCAAAGCGTTTTATCTAAAGAAAATAAAAAATAATTATATGGAGAAACAAAAAAAAAATCTTATCGGATTTAAAGAATTTCTATGAACAATCTCCCGTTGAAAGCTTTCGTACTATCTAAAATCTAAGCGTCGAACGAAACGACGCCAATTCATTAAGTTTCCCACCGAAGAAATTCCAAACGTAATTGTTACTTTTATTATCACACCAACGCCGGTTTCGCTCGACTTAATAACGTCGATTTAAATGCAACGTCCCAAAAGAATTTCAAATTTGCCGCCCTCAAAGTCTCCTGGGATTTTTTTGTTACTTACCGTAGTCTCTTTTGCAATACTTCTTTAGGTTGAGCCTTTTTGCCGACGCCTTGCACTTTCCGCACTGATCTGAAATGAAAAAAGAGTTCTTTTTAAGAAATGAGCTTGTTTTTTTTATTTATCGAAATGTTACAGCTTATTTTGGGTTTGGCGGGGTTGTTTATGGTAATAATTTATCTACAAAGTACACAGGAAGATTTAAAAGGTCTCGCGGTTAAAAAGGAAAGTTTGTTTTTGCGTTCGGCCTCCATGTGCCCGGGCAGTATAATCAAGAATTTTCTTAATTGTAAACATTCGTCAGTCAAGTGATAGTGTGGTTTGTGGTCGTAAAATAAAAATGTTGTAAATAAACTTTAACTCGACGAAAAAGTTTTATTTTATCACCCTTTTTTATTGTCTTAAATCGTCCCAGAAAAAATGTAATTAATTGAACAAACACTTAGTTACTTCTTCATCCTTATTCCAAACACAAATGCGAATCCAATTAAGATAGTTTAAGCGGAACTTGGGAGTACTTTCTAAGTCGATTATAAGAGCAACCCCATTCGCCCCTTCGATTTCACCATTCCAAACGCGAAAGGGGCAACAGCAGCAGCTTTTAATTGACTTTACCCACCCTTTTCACTCCCTACCATCCTACGAGATAGTTGCACCCATAAATAACTATAATTTAATTTGGAGAATCGCGTGCTTGGGATTCCACTCTTATTTCCTTTCCGAGCAGGTTTCTAGCGCGACAAAAACGAACCCTAGGATTTTCCCCCGTTACATTTCGCAATGGACCGTGTAATTTCCGAAAACTCCCTCGGATGGGGAACTCCAACAACCCCTTTAATAAAAAATTTTCTAACAATTTCTCTTTAAAGAAAAGAAAATTAAAACAACGGTTTCAACATAAAACATTTAAAGACTGCTAGATTGGGTGATAAAAAAGTTAGTTACTCATCACATTGCGGGTTTGGTTTTGTAAAAAAATTCCCCCGAGGCGTTGTCTTCATACGCTTTAAAACGAGCACAACAATAACAACGGAAAAAAGAAAATAATGGGGAGACGAATTAATAGCGAGTCAATTTGCTGTTCGTATCGAATCCCGGGTTTACGGTTACGAGCGCGGCGCGAAGGTTAAAAAGTCAAGGAGCAAAACGAGAGAAAGACGAAGAACGGAAAAGATATTAAGAGGAAAATGAGAGAGAAAGAGAGAGAGGGTTAATTTGAAATAACGTCGGGAGGTAAGAACGCGAACGATATTAATGCGTCTGTCAAAATCGTTTCGTGTCAACCGTGCAAATTGCTAAGTAATTACGCTTATTACACGAGGCGAGTCATATTTGCTATTCTGATATTCGCCGACGGGTTTCTTTTTCTTCCTACCCCGGGAGGATGGATGTTGTGCGAAACACAATTGTGAATTGTGACAGAGATAGATGGTAATATTACTGATGAGAATTATGTTCTGTATTTTGTCGTATTAATTCAAAGCGTAAAAGACAAGGAAATAAAAGATTTAATATTCAAAGTCAGCTTTGCTATGGATCATTGATAAGAGGATCCCATAATTTGGATTAGAATATAATTAAAACATTTTTGTATTTTGAAAAAGCTTTCGGTTTAAAAACCTTATTTGAAAATAACTAATTGATATAACAAAAACGGTATCAGGTGCTTGAAAGCAAATTTGATACACATAAAATAATTTCTTTATATTCATTAATCTATTCTATATTCAATGATTTTTTTAAATAAAAACATATAATTAATAAGATTAGATCGGCTAGAGAGAGAGTAGTAATTATAGATTGGCTTAGAGAAGGAAGAGATTTTAAGGTTTTATTAAATACAAAAACATTTGTTGGTTTCTGTAAGCTCTTGAAATAGAGTTTTTTTTTAATTTCTATTAAAAGCTGCTCTTTGCTCTATTTTAAAATAAAATGAAATTTACTGTTCACTAAAATATGTAACATCTCAATGACATCTGGTAGTGGTTCTTAAATAGCCCTATAAACAAAAGTCTACGCGATTCAAATTTTGGACCACGCAATGGGGCCTTCCCCAACAGTAAGCGTAAAGTGCGGCCGAGCTCCATCCTGAATAAACTTAGGATTTTGTCTCCGATTTAGGAAGACGGTAAGTTTTCCCTAAGTCCAGGAAGAGTGTTTGCCAGGGAATCAACTTATGTATGAGCGTTTAATGGTTGTGGTAAAACAATCGGTGCTAACAACCTATCCCCTATGATGCCTAACCAAATGTTTAAACTAAAACACTGTTGATATCTAGTTTCTACGAGGGCTCGAATATTCTCATCAGACCACCCATGATTATTGTGGAAGTTGAATATTCCATTTTTGATGAAACCAGATTCATCAGTGAACAGAATGTTAGTTAAGAAGTCTGGGCGTTCAGAAGATCTTGCGTGGTACTATGGAGGAGTGATGGCATGCGTGCGGATATGGTAAAAGCAAATGAGGTGCACACGGAATATTCTCTAAATAACATGTGCATTTGAATACCCATTATAGCCTAAACTCTTGCGATACGTGTTTCGGGATTTTCATCCAATGTATTTGAAATTTCTCTGCTATCCGCTAGCATAAGACCTTTTTTCAAAGGACACCGTTTGAAACATTACATGTGATGGCAGTTGCAGGTTGGGAAATGTTACCGCATAGAAACAACGTGCAATCAAACCATTCCCATTGGCACGACCATACAAGAATACCATTTCGGCATTTTCAACATTTGTCGAACGGAAAGTCAAGAATCAACACACAAAATTGCAAATTGTCGGAAAGTTATTTGAATATTTATATTAAAACAGCGTAAGTTACTTAAAGCCAAGTTATTTGCTGTGTATTCGATTTTTAATAAATTTCATAGGAAAGAAGCAATTTTAGAAATTATTTGAGATGGCTTTTGACTTTTGATTACTCTCACCAATCCCTATCACAGATATTTGGCTTGAATTTAAATTAACGTGGGAGCTTTGAAGACGTGGAAAAATTCTCCCAACCCAATGACAATATCATCTTCACAAAATTCGTCCTTATCCCTACCCAATCTAACTTAAGGTTCAGTGGTGATTAATTGCATTACTAGATTTGAATGATATCTAGTAGTATACGTCATAAGCCATGCCATACAGTTTTAGTAGATGCACTTGCTACATCTCATACGAAATTTATCATTTATTTTACCTCATTGGTAGCAAACAGATTCCTGGTTCCGATTTTATGCATTTCCTCATTGTACACGATCCAGTGGGTAGATGTTTGTTAACGTCCTCCTCCTGCAGTAACCAATAATTCAAAGGAATAACTAGTAGTTGCTTTAAAAACTCAAAAACAAGTCATCACATTCTGTTTCGTGAGGGTTTAATCGGCTGTAACTCAACCCAAATTTATCGTCAATTATAACTTTCAATCAATCTCATTTTATCATTGTTGTCACTTAAGGTTTCAGTAAGACAATATTCATGAATTAGATTACGACCTAGCTACGACAGAGAAAGATCTAAGACTAATTTTGGGGAGAACGTGATTTCTTTCAACAAAGTTTTCAAATTTCAAAATATAAATAGGTGCATCAAGAAAGATACTATTTTGAAAATTTCACAAAATTTGTATTTTTTGTAAACTTACTTCCGAACGATTTTGCAGAATATATTGTATAAAGAATACTCATGTTGCACAAATAAATTTCATTAAAAGAATAATAGTCTACAGATTTTTCAAAACCATGTCTAGAGACAGAATTTCAGAAATCAACATTTTCTGAATAACGAAAAACAACCTACTGCAAAATTGTATGAAATAGAAGTCTAGGCGTTCATCAAAGACAGGTTTCAATCCCAGTTCCATTCGTTTAAAATGTTAAAGATGTGCCCAAACTATACGAAAACCAATGGACTAAGTGTCTGGCGGAGTAACGATAAGATAACTGATGATACTAACAATTAGAAGCATAGAACGCATGTAGAATAGCGTAAACTAGTCACAAGTAATGCGGCAAAGTAGTATAAATTCATTTTACTAATTTCCAGCTGAAGCTTTTTCGTTACATTTTTGAGGTAGTAAATTCTTAAAAATCATTTCATTTTTTATAATTTCATATCCAACGGGTTGCCTTTCCACAATCAGAAGATTTCGAGTTGTGCCAGATGTTAGAAGATTAATGAAGACATTTCCTTACGTGGTTACTTTCACACCCACAAATAAGACACTTTAAAGATGATCAGAAGATTTTATGCTCACACAGAAAATAGGAGCTAACAGAAAGAAGGATGTGGGCGACGTGACTCTAAATTTTTATTTTTTGGTTAGATACTTCTCCGAGTGATACGGTTCTCTCAACAAATACGACCGTAACTGGCACTTTCCTGCAATATAACATTATCTCTTCGCTAGGTAAGATAGTTTTGAATATATAAACGGTGTGAGTCTTTTTAATACCTCTAATATACTGTCTCAGACCTGTGGTAGATTTCGCTTGCTTTAAGGGAGGAAGTTTTTCGTACACTACTAAGCTTTGAATACATTTCCTTAGAAGCGATATTGAATGTTAAAGATTATTTAAAACAACATTCTGTTTCGTTTGATATCATGGTATTACTGTCAAAATTGAAGACTTGTGGATATACTGGGTTGCTTGAGGTTAAGGCCATGTAGGCATTGATGTCAACAGTAGGATAGGTGTCGTACGAAATCTTGTCGACCTGTAGACAGTTGTTGAGCAGAAATATTAAAAGCGTCGTGTCAAAACAGGATAACAATATTGGACACTTTTGTCCAAAATTAAATAAGTTAAATTAGTTTTCTTCTAATTATACTCACTAATATCATACCCAGTTTTAAAATGAAAAACCTCTTTCAAACTCTACGTTATCTCAACAACACTTCTTGTTCTTATTAGCAATTTATTAGATACATTTTGAGCAGGTGTTACAGTATAGTTTAGTCATTAGGTATGGTTATAACGTTTAACCACTATCCCCTACTAACGTAAAGTTTCCAAACTGTCCTTGTTCAAGTTTTAAGTTATTTTTAGTTCGCTATCTGAAATAGATTAGAGATTC